ATACTGGCTAGACGATCCGTTTTCTGCTGCACTCTGTGCTGTGATGTATTGCTGGGATTCTTAACCGAGTACGTCGATTGACTACGGCGATGGAGGAGAGGACTGAAGGAGTTCTACTTGAATGTGCATGTCCGCCACATTATTTCGGTTCAGGGTATTTTTATAATGTAGGGTTGCCTCTCTGAAGTGGGCCGTTTTATGTGAAGCGAGCGACGCACTGTGAAATTAGAAGTAAGCCTAACTCTCTAACTAACTAACTAACTGCATGGAACTGAGTTGATCAAGAGAAGCTGATACTACGCTCATCTAGTCAAGAAATTACTCGTACGTTTTCGTACCTGAAGCTTCATTATCGCGTTCACAAGAGCGCGCCTCCAGTCCCCTACCTGTGCCAGATGAATCCAATCCTGTTTACCTAAAATTTATTTTAATGTTATCCTCCCATCTATTTCTAGTTATACCGTGTGGTATCTTAAACAACGTTCTGAGCTCATTTTTATCCGCCATTCTCACTGTTTTTCTTCATAATTTGCTCTTATTCTTATAATTTGTAATTAGAACATACAAAACGTATGTTAAAAACACCATATGCTTGTGTATGTTGACGGTCACCTGCGGAAGCTAGATATAACCAATGTTGAAACAGCGGTGGTCATTTAATGCATCCATAGATCACTACGGTGGGAAATATGCGTAAAAGAAAATATAAATTATTTGCAAATTGGATTACTTACTTTTAAATTTATCGTATGGATTATAATGAATTGGGCAAGTTACATTGTTTTCTGTCATGGCCTCACTTCTTGGGCACCCGGTAGCAGGGGTTAGCGCGCGCGCGCCTCGGGTCTGTTGTCACCTGAAGTCTCGACAGTCGCTATGGTGACGACTTGTGGGCAGACCACCCAAAGGCCTGGGGAATCTCTCAGCCCGTTTTACACGGTCTGAATCCTGTAGGAACGTATTCATTCCTGATTATCCCGAAGCCCAAATGATTTTCATCTGGTTTCCAAACCAGATACATCCAGAGACACCTTCAGGCTGTTGTAGAGCCCGGATAGATCACCGTAATGCCTGGTAACAAAATACAGGTGTCCCAAAAAAAGGTGTGCACAAATTATAATACGAAATATTAACTTTGTGTGTAAAAATCTTTTTTGGGACACTCTGTACAATTGACTAGGAATCGAATCCCGGTGTGGGGAAGTATTTTCCTTTCTTTACTGGACCCTCAGTTGGATGCGGTCACTGACCAATCCAACGAGCTCTTTCCTCACGATTAAAGTGGTCTAAGCGTGAAGCTGGCCACTTATTTCCTTATAGCGTCGAGGTTAAGAATTCGTGGAGCTCTATCTCCATTTCCACATACATCTTCATGGTTCAGTTCTTAGTTAAATTTTACAAATATTCTAAAGAAATACTTCTTTGTGTTTCATTATTTTTAAGCCCAGCCTCGCTAAGTTTTCCAGCAGTTTATTTTGTGGCATCGGTATTACGAACGTATTTAGCATCAGAATTAATCGAAGGTTTTACTCTAATCACAGCTTTATGTGGCTTCATGCAAGGTTAGCCTACATTGACGTCATTTCTAGCTAGTAATTTGTTTAAATGATCCGGTGTTTGTTTACAGCTCGCAAATGGCTGTATCAAAAGACGTTTGAATTACTCCATGACTTTGTTTGGACAGTTTTGCTGGTTGTTTGTCTCTCAGAGGCACCGCTGTTTAGCCGTGTTGCTTCTGTCAGTGCTTTTTATATGCCTCCGCGTAGTCTTGTAGGCGGTCAATCATTTAAAATTCGGTGGTAACTGTACTTACCACCTGGTTTAATAATTACTTAATTCTGCATTCTGTCCGTACAGTGTATGTGTTTCGTATGATTCTCAGAATAAACGGAGTTTATTTCCTTAAACAGCGTTAACCAGTTGATCTTTGTAATGGTGAAGAGTTGTGTTTTCTTTGCGGTACGGACTGAATTATTAAATATTAATCAGACGAACTATGATTCTCACAATAAACAGCGATCATTTCTTAAACAACGTCAACCAGTTGATCTTTGTAATGGTGAAGAGTTGTGTTTTCTTCGCGGTACGGACTGAATTATTAAATGTTATTCAGATGAGCTTCGACTTCAAAGACCCCGCCCTTGGTTTTTTGGTTGGTTAGTTTATTCGACTTTGAAGTTTCAGTGTGCTTCGGAGGAACTTACGGCCTCCGTCTTCATGGTAGAAGGCTTTATAGCCCAGAATGAATCATTTGTGTGTTTTATTTTTAACTTGAAGTAATTGCCTAAGATGTGTGATTTTTGTTAAACTTCGTTCGTATTACTTTCTTGCTTAAATTCACTGAAAGTGGAAACTCGAAGAGTGATCTGAAGTTGTGTTTAACCGTTCGGCTTGTACCAGTGACGTCGGAGCAGTTGTGGGATAAATGACCCTAAGAACGGGTACCTCAATTTGAACCCCAAGCGAGCGAGCATTTTTAGTCTACCATAAATCACATAGAAACGTAGGTTTTAAAATAATGTTTGTCCGTTGGACTGGACCCAGTAGTTAGTAGGGCCTATAAACGTTCAACTGTTTGTGTATGCGCCTTCAGAGAGTGTTTCAAGCTTATTTTGTGTAGACTATAAAGTCAGTACGATGTTTTAGAAATCGGTCTGATGGTTGGGATTTCAGATTCTCACGGCGACGAGAATTATGGGATGTTACACCGTGTAGTGGGGTAGAAATTGACTTGACGTTTCAGACGCGGGGGTTGGGCGTGTGTAAAATATTTTATAATTATTGTTTCTCTCGAAGTGGATGTAAGAAAGGCTGTCTAAATATTTGTCAGACATTTTTTATTATAATGTTCAGGAAAGCAATGTAATTTGTCGCATGTGTTATCAGTATATTGTGATGTTGTTATTAATTGAAGTGTCAAATTACTCATTACTGCGTTTTAAAATATCCGAAATGTAAGATTCTTCCTTTTTTATTCTGATCGTCTAAATGGGGGTCCTATTTGGAAACCAGGGCATTGTAATAAGGGGCACTGGGACTTGGAGAAGAACACTGGTTTGTGTTATTTCGAAGAAGATGAACGTAGAAGAAGAAGAAGAAGAAGAAGAAGAAGAAGAGAATGTAAAATCCAGGCAAAAAGAAGACAGCAGAGGCGCAGACCGCGAGGAGGAGCAAACGTTTCTTTGACGTCATTAGATGGATGTCTTGAGTGCTGGGAGGGGGTGATGGGACCCGGGAGGAAAGAGAGGGGCCCCTATAATGAGTGGAGGGGCGTCAGAAAATCTAATTCTGCCCTCTTATAAAAGCGTTCCGATTTTGAGAATTACTTTGCAGTGAACTGTGCATAACAGCGAGTAGAAGAAGTGTAATTCAAGGTCGATGTTTTTCTTCTGGGTTATAACACCGCGTGGACTTGTAGGTAGATGTCAGGGTTTTGGTGGAACACACTGTTTCTATCTTCAGTGCTGAAGTCCACACGGCGTTACAACTCAGAAGACCATTATCCCTATCTGCATCGCCCGCGAGAAACTCAAATTTTACGCCGTCATTAAAATCTGAAAATCTAGGGACGTTGTTGGTTTTTAATTATTTTAAAGTGCTGTATAAACTACGCAAGTTATTTGGCGTTTGGATGGAGCAAAAGACAAATTAATACGATGGAATGCGAGGGGAAGAATGCGTCATGTTTGTAAGAACGCAGCCAATTAAAGTGGCTTGTTTGTTGTAGAACGTTGTGTCAGTTGAAGATGACTGTCTTCTAGAATGTTGCGCCGTGTAGTCTGGTAGATTGTAACCGACGTTTCAGAGGAGTTTACTTCCCCCACCATCATGGTGATCACCCTGGAGATGGAGGAAATATGCCCCTCTGAAATGTGGTCAACATCTACCACACTATACGTGGAAACATCGCAGAAGACAGCCGTGAGAACCTGAAATCTCACTTTGTATCAGTTACTCCCACTGATTTCCAGTCGAATGTACGTAATTTCTTGTTTTACGATTATCCTGACTGTGGTTTTTCTCAGCCCCTCCAGGCGAATGCCGGCATAGTACTGAAATTATCAGACTACGACAGCTTCCTGCCATATCTTTTCCAAGTCATCATTTGTTAATGTAAGCCACTGAGAGCGAGGTTAAACAAATCCCAGATAAGCGAATGGACAAGGTGTGTGTGTGTGTGCCGATGCTAAGACACTTGAACATACTTAAGTGTTGAACAGCTTAATGCATCTCCCATATTAGATTTGAGGTTCTCACGGCAATGAAGATGATTTTGATGATAGTTTCCTGGGTTGTTACGCCTTCTGGATCTGTGGGCGGATACCAGCGTATCAGAGGAACACACTGCTTCCATCTTCAGGATTTACACTGGTATGGAATGAGATGCTGCATCGGGTCACAGACATCTGAATATGAAATAATGTTTGTTTTTGCTTTTCTGAACATCGCTGCGCTCTTCGGTTATTCTATTGAGATATGCATTAAGGGGATTCCCCAGAAACGCGTGCGTTTCGCAACACACGCAGCTTACGCGTGTGTAGAGTATGAGACATTGATACTGAAGACAGAGTGGAGGGGGAGGCAGTGTGCTAACGAAAGAAAGACAGTGAGTGGTTGTACCGTGGAGCAGAACACAGTGCCATCTATTTATAGCCCAGGAGAGTACTAGAGGAGGCTATTTTTAGTTTGCGGGACGCAGGCCGACGGACGGACGGACAGACAGACCCCAACAACGTCGCACGCCTTAAGAAATAAATAATTAAAAAAACGCCGGACCGTTCCACGCGTTCCTCTGCTTCAGGCTGGCCGTCAGTTGGAGCCAGGGGTTCGCCGGTCCGAATCCACGGGCGTCTCTTTCAACCCCACTCGCGACTTTCTTCACTTGTCTCTTGCGCCGTGTGTGATGTTACTTAGGCCGTTTTTGTTTCCACCGATGTTAGTGCACCCAGGCGCAGGGAATTGGTTCAGTGGACTTTGAGATTAGTTTGTGGTATTATTTATTTATTTATTTATTATTTGTCTCGTGTAGGATTTGTTCTTGAGTCCATCGTTTCGTTGTTGAACGTGTGTTTTTAAGGAGATTTTATACGAATTAAGAACTTCCGAACATGTTTTTCTGCCTCGGTTAAGTTATCTTTTCTCAATATAAGTGTTAATTCAGACGAGTGTATTTATGTTTATCTTATTATTTGCCTTCGTGACTATAGAAACAAAGCGAAACAGATGTGATCTTGCGAATATTTTAAGGGCAATTTCATTCTTTTTTACGCTTTTTTAAAAAAATTGTCGTTTGTAATGAGTGTTGTGTATTCTTTGTTTCCATAAAAAGAAATGCATTAGGGTAGTGTTCATTACTTGTACTCACGTTTATTCTGTTTATCCAAAAGTTAGCCAGACTTACTGTATAATGTGATATAAGTTATAAAGTACAAGAGATATAAATGAGTATAATTTATAGTCACGTATTTATCGTTCAATTTTTATACCCTCATCTAGTGAAGAAATTTATCGTCTTTAAAGGAACTAAACCCGAATGTTCGTAACAGTGTTCAAAAAATCCCGTGGAAACTGTGTTAATGCGTCGTTAAGTAAACTGAATAAAGGTAAGAGGAGGAAATTAGATGCTAGGGAGATGGTAAATTGCATGGGGGTTAGTGAAAGGATTAAAAAAATGGTTTTATAACGCTGTACCCGTAAAAGGGGCAAATTTATTATAGGCGTTTGTGGCATTCAGGTTGAAAGTATTGTTCCCTGTCGCAGCGCATATTTATGTGACAGCCCTCACAATGTTGTCGTAAAAGTGGCCAGGTTAGGTAAGTCCGTTAATTACAGTCGGAAATATTGCAGCGTTTATCCCCGGGTGTGCCGTAGCTCTTATCTGCCGAGATTTCAGCTTCGCTTGTCCGCGTTCTGTCCGGAGCGGCGTAAGCTTGGATCCCGATAGGTAATTTCATGTGTTATTGTTAAGTAAAATTGCCTTTTAAACTTGGGTTAAAACCTGCCCTGAAGAAGTATGCAGTTCTTTTTATTCGTAAAATTTGTTGCTACCCATAAGACTAACATCTTTATTGTCCCGCATCGCCTTCATCTTTACCTGACCCTGAAAATGGAGGCAGTAGTTTTGTATGTAACTTAGGCAACCTAACCTACAAGAATATAAGACCATAGTTAAAATCTATGTAATTTAACATTTGTTATTTGTTTAGCAACCCGTGGATTGCTTTCTCATATGGAAGGCTGTACTTTTATGTTTCTTTCTGTGAATTATACAACGTTCAGGTCTGTTTACGTGGCGAGCTCTGTCGGCTCCGGTAAGAACACCCCACGTGATGTTGCCATGGCAACTGGCGGATAGGTGTCCAGTCATCCGAAGTGTCGCCTCTTCAAACGTGTTCACCGTTGAGTAGCTTAATAAACGTACCATTTGCGCTTTTCTCTTGTTGTTGTTTTTTTGCCGTGGAAACGGATTTTATTTCCTTGTTTCCTTTTTACGAGTTTTTTATTACCATTTTTTCGTGGTTTCGCTGTTCTACGTGCGATTTCCGATTAATAAAGTATGCACGTACTGAAATTAAACTTTCGATTGGCAATTTACTTTTCTCTGACGAAATTTTTGTGTTCTACCTGAAAAATGTGTTACCTTCTGACAAGTTTTACGTCTAAATTTTCCTCGATCTGGGAAATACGTGGGAACGCGACCGATGTGTTTATGAGATGATGCCTTATAAATGTACACGTCACATTAACTTACGCCTCAGTTAATGTTAACAGACCAGCAATGCTCTCGTGGTCGCTGGCGTCTCAAGAAGAATCCGTACTTAGATTCAACTCACATTATAAGCGTCGTAGGAAGTAAGTCGCCTTAAATGCCCTGGGGCTCGTAATGTTAGCCTAGATATCTTCTTAGCCTGTAAGTAGGAAGAAAAAAAGTGGGAATCCTTTTATTACTGCTTCTAGGCACAGTAAAGTGCTGGTTTTGTGAGGAAAGAGGGAAGTGCGAGATGTTGAAATTTCGTTTCCCGGAACTTTGTTGAGGAATCACCTTCAACAGAGTTCTCGCCTGCCAGTCTTCGCTGTGGTTGATAAATGAATAACGGTGAAAATCCATCCACCATTTTGGACAGGGGTACTGCTGTTGAGGAAGGGGGGTTTGCTTGGCTGGGCTACTCAACTGTCTTATCATTGATATGTGGGCTTCAGTATCGGCAGTTAGCACGAGTTTCGTAATTCGTGTTTTTACAGTGTGATGGGTGTGGCATGTAGTACGCACGAGAACATGAAAATTGTGTACGAAATATTAGTCGTAAAACCTACCGGGAGAGGGGACCACTTGCGGAGAGACACACCCGTATTTTGGAGTATAATATTAAAAATAATACAGAAATAAGCAGAACGAAACGCAAGTACTCGTGTGTCTTTGTAATGAAATCATCAGACGACACTGTGTGTGGCCAAAACTCCCTTTCTCTATTTTGAAGTCCTTGGGTTCAACTCTCGGCCCAGAGACCTGTTATTATGATAGACGTCTTTCGTGATTTCCTTTAGTTCCTCCAAGTAAATGCTGGGTTAGTACCTAAAATAAGCCACGGCCATTTCTTTACCGATTATTAAGTTTTAATCGTCCGATGTTACACACTCAGGTGAGCTACTAGCAGCGTTGTTAAACGGCCGTTACATAATGTCCGTCGCACTTGATTGGACAAGTCCGTGCGTTCCGGATATAATTGAAATTAATTTCTGACGGCGGTGGCTCTGGTAGCAATAAATGCAAACGAGTTAATTGCGGCGCCTGTGGTGGGACGTGGCGGAGTCTGGGTTTGGCGGGAATCTCCGTTTAGTCGCTGTGAAGATGTTATCAAATTTAATTAATTCTGTAAAGGAATTCTTAAACCTTGTACTTTTAATGCGATTTTTAGAACATAATTCTGCATTAAATATTACTATTTTTGAACCTCCCCCCCCCCCCCCCCCCCCCA